GCACTTGGATGGGTTAAATGCAGAGCACAAATTCCGAGCATGGGTTGCCATACTTGGCCATCACGTCACTCACTTTTTATAGTTTTTTCCCCTTTATCTTTATCTATCCAGATTCTAACACAGCAATTGTCATTGCAGTCATCATTCCTTTGATTATTTTGATCGCGGTTACTGTCATCCTTTTCCTCAAAAGACATCAAATAATTGGTAAGACCATCATTAAATCTGTTCAAACCTTTGAAACGTGTTTCTTTTATCTGTGCTTATTGTTTGCTCAAAACACAATATTTTAACCACTGTCCAAAACTTGAGGTAACTTGTCATTTGCAACCTTTACTCCCATAATGCCATATATTTCAGTGTGAAACCAGATATTCAGCAAGAACAGAAAAATATAGGTTGGGCTGGTAAATTACTATAATACAGCCAGACTTTAATTTTGAGTTTGCTAAAACAATGCCTAAATTGTCATTAACATTATCCAGTAGCATGCTACCTGACTGACATCAGCAGAAGCGTGCGTTCATGGAATGTGTGTTAATAAAGTAAATTGGGTCCATAATATTTACTGCAAATGACTGAGTCTGTCACTGTTGTTCTTTAAGGTTATTGTGCTGCTTGCCGTGGGAAACGAAAGATTTCCAGGGTAAGTTAATTTTCTTAATTACTTGTGGAGAAACATTAGTATCACAGACAAATTAAATCGATCTTGGTTGATGTTGAGTGCAATGATAACAGCTGATAAACATCTGTTTAAATGAGCACTGGACTGACCAATCAGCATCTAGGACCGGAACTGTACATGCTTTTTTACAAAGTACATTTTTTAAAAATTAGAATATTAAAATGACATTTGTGAAGCAGACATGAAACTGATAAGAATGATGCTGTTACCTGCCACATCATGGACCCATTTTGTCCCTTCAGAGGCAAAGCAACACGGGGATCTTCTGGACCCATTTGTCTGGTCATCGGCTCTAAATCCCAGCTTTACTAAAGCAACTGGAGCTCCTAACCATCTGTGCCTTCATAACTTTGACTGTTGCTTTTGGACCTCTCTGTCTCCTGGACCTCGTTGATGGTGTTGGAACTTCATCCTTTGGTTCTGAATACTATGCTACATATGCAAATAGCCTACTTAGTTTTCAGGGAGGGACAATGGCACCAAGCAGAGAGTTTTGCAGGCGTGGCTGATTGTGTAGAAATAAATACCTACTAAAAATGTCTATTATATTAAGCAACGCATAAAACACATATAGACCTGAAATGGTATACATGAAAACCAAGGCAAAAAGATTTGTGTCTTCAGGGAAACATGAACGGCAACACATGCATATGAAAAATCTAAGCTTTAATCAAATTTACATCTTACATTTCTACATAACAGATTAGTTTGTATTGTGTAATCACTGTAATAGGTTGCAGTTTAAATACATGTCAGAAAATATGTAAATCAGCTATTGTTAGAGCACTCCAAATATTCACTCCAAGATTAATGTCCAAAAAGTTGAAGATCCAGCACACAGGTAGTAAGTTTGTAGTGTGCTAATGTAATGCGCAGTTCATTAAAGCAGTTTATTTAATGCCACATGAAAAAATACTATAGGTAAGGGATGATCGACCGCTTGCCGTGCATTAAAGGATTTTAAATGCACGACGTGGAGGCCA